ACAGAGAGAACGGGCGGCTGACTCTGGGCCCCGCGGGAATGTGCTCCTCTGAACTGGGATCCCACGTGGCCACTAGGGGCGGAGCCCGGCCTGGTCACTCTAAAACGCTCAACTGCGGGGCATTTTAGACTGGAGAGCAGCAGTCCAGGGAGCTTCCTGGAGGAGGGTGGGGCTGGAGGAAAGGACCATGACGTGACCAGGCCCCATGGAGGGTGCTGTCTCTCTGCCCTGCCCGCAAGTGTGCACAGATGCTCCATCATTCACAAAGAAGAAACACTTCACACTTCTTTTTTTTTTTTTTTTTTTGCAAAAGGAAGAAGAGGCAGGCTTAGGAACACCAGAGAAATGAAATGAGAACTACCTCTGTGAGCAGGAGCCAGTGATGTCTTAGAGCCGATCAGAGAAAGGAGAATGAGTGAACAGGGAGACAAGAGGGAAGAACAGCCGTGGAGCAGGACCGAGGGGAGAGGCAGACTTGTGACTTGGAGTGCGGCCACAGCTACAGTGGCACAAGAGTCCTGGGCATCCAGTCCGTCAGCTCCTAGGGCTCAGTATGACACACACCTTCCCCTCTCGGCCCCCCATCTACCCACAGGCTGACTGGTGAGTGGACCTGGCCCCTTCAGGCAGCCTCCCTCACCAAGGGGCCCTGAGCACTGACCACAGACTGCAGCAGGGAGGCACTGAGGGAAGAGGGGCCTCCGATCTCCTGCACAGCTCCAGTGTCCCCAGGGCCGTGCTGCAGTGGCCGTTGCCATGCAACGGCTCGCTGGGTGTGGCTTCCTGGTGTCTCGGAGGACTTAGGTCCAGTGAGTTCATCAGCTCCTGAGTAGACCTCCCCCTCGAGGTCATGTCACCTGTCCTGGTCCTGGGGGCATGGCCATCCCCTGTGGCCCCATGTGTGTGCTGGGGCTGCCACTCCTTCCTCTGGAGTTCTCTGTTCCTCACCCACCAGTCCCATGTGACGTCCCCCCTCAGGGTCCTGGGTGGCACCTGTCTCTGGAAAGGAGCTGATGGTCACAGAATACCCAGAGCCACCACGGTGGCATAATAGTCCATGCTTCCGTTGCCCCCAAACCAACCCGGTGATAGTCTGTGTGGCACCACGGCACAGTGCCCAGCTCTCAGTGCTGCCACACCCAGGGGCTCACGCCATGCCTGGCTGAGGCCAGCCCAGCCCCAGGTCCTGCCTGCAGTCTGCCTCGCGAGCCACTCTTGATACTAGCCGACCCGCAGAGGGAGGGCTTCCTCTAGTCCCCGGAGCACAGACACGGGACAGAACGCCCTAGGCGACTTTAACACTGAAACAACGGTGACCCCATATGTGAGAGGACCGAGCCATCAGCATGCAGAAGTACTGGCAGCACCAAGAACTGTGCGATGGCACCACGAGCATATCCCCGCGCGAGGGCCCATACTGTGTCCGCGATGCCGAAGGCCCCAGTGGGCACCTTGCAGGGAAGACCCTGGCTGCTTCTCTTGGAGGGGGAGCACCTGCGAGCTGCTGCCTCCCTGGCGCAGTCGTGCCATGCGGGCATCCTTGCTACACATAGACTCCGGCCCTCCCCACCAATGAGGATGCCTTCCCCACCCCCTCAGGAAACTTCTGCCTCTCTTCTAGCACCCGGCCAGGCTTCACCTCCTCCAGGAAGCTCTCTGGACTACTGCTGTCCAAGAACACTGGCCTTTTCACCCCCACTGTGTGACAGGCCCACCCTGCTGGGCAGTGTGAGGACAACACTTGTCCCTCCACTATCCTCCCTCCACACTCAAGCAGGAGGAGGCCCTGCCCTTGACCCCTGGAGCAGGGAGGAGGCAGAGAGAAGGGAGAGAACAGCGCATCCTGACAGTTTTCCTGGTCCTAAAGGGAAAGCGAAGCCTTTGGGAAGTACAATGGGTGTCTGGGACACATTAACAGAAAAAGGGCTCTCAGAGTCTGAGTGATGGTGGGCAGGGGCAGCGGAGATCGCGAGAGGCCTGGGGCTGCCCAGCATGTCGGGCCCAGGTGCTCCAGACAGTCTCAGCAGGGCCCAGGAGGACCAAGGGCCAAGCACAGGGCTGCTGAATCTGCACGTGACACTGCCCTGGCCTCAGCCAGCTCTGCCTCCTTCAGGACGGCTGTCACTGAGAAAGCTGCAGGCCACCTGTGGGTGGGGTGAGGGCAGGTCCGCGGCTGGGCAGAGGCAGCCTCTGGACAGCCTCTTCCATAGCACGTGGCCCTCCTGGGCCTGCACAGGGTGGGAGGGAGCGCCTCTCACTGCCAGCTCAAGTCCAGATCCCTCCTCCCCTCCAATCCAGGCCGGGCTGCGCGGGGCTTCCTGTCACCACTTCACCACTTACTCTGACGGACGGCTGCCTTCCTTCCGAACGGGAACTTTGCCCCATAGTGAATGCCGCTCTCACTGCCCATGCAATAACCATGTAAAGGCTCACAGGAATTCCTTGACCTTCCCACCTCTGAAAATCAGACCCACCTGCTGCCCGGGGAGAAGGCCGAGTGGGCCTCCTGTCTCCTCGCTAGACAGCATTACGGTAGAGCGGGTCCCTCTCCCATCTCCTCACGAGACAGCATTGCGGTAGAGTGCATCCCTCTCCCCAAGCCAGCACCGAGCCACGGTCCTACGTGCACGGGGTCACCAGCCTGCTGCTCGGTGCCAGTTTCTCCCACCCAATACCTCAGCCCCCAGCAAGCCAGGTGAGGTAGAGGGTCTGCCTGCTGCCCCCACTCATAGGGCAGAAGCTAGTTCTCCCTCGAGAGAGCAAAGTTGCAGGCTGCTCGGTGGGCACGAATCAGTGGTGGGGTTTCCCGGTCTGCCCCCACTCATGTGAGCTCGGGAGGGTCTGCGTAGCCCAGGCTCGGCCCCTTCCTGGGCTCTGGGAACCAAAGGGCTCTCCCGTGTCTCTCCTGGGACCCAGGAGGGACCCCTTGATGGTGGCCTTGCAGACAGTCCAAGTGCACAGTGAGGTGCCCAGCAAGGCCCACTGTGGAGGGCCCGCGCTCCTCAGTGAAACGCTGCCCTCCCTCTGGGGCTCGAGTTACCAGGAACCCTGCAGGGTGGGGCCAGCCGGCATCACCGAGGCCCTCCCAGCGGCTCTGTCTCCACAGGGATGTCTTGGCTGCTGGCCACCCCGCCATGGCCGTCCTCCCCCCTGGCCCCTGGTCCTCCTCTGGGCGGTGCCCACACCTTACCATGTAGATGAAAATGTCATTCTCAGCACCCGGCCCACGGCCCCAGGCCAGCTTGCTGGATAGCTCCTTCCGGAACTCCCACTTGAGCAGGATGGCACAGCGCAGGAAGGTGAACTTGGCCTTCTGTGGGTGCAGAGCAGTCACCCCGTACCAGGCCCCCTTCCTGTCACCATGTCCCGCCCAGGCAGAGCCCAAGGGGAGCAGGCTTTGCACCAACCACCCAAAGGGGGGCTGTGCCCCCTGGAAAAGAGCCTCCCAACTGTGTCTTCACTCCTTCCTCCACGGTGTCCCGCTGTCACCCACACCTGACTGAGTCCACCGAGTTGCCTGACCACCGCCGCCGCAGACAGGTGGCTGCTCCCCTCAGGTCCCTGCTGCCCCATGCAGAGCAGCCACCTTACCATGACCACCTTGGGGCAGGGGTCGGCCTGGTGCAGGAGCAGTGGCACCAGGGCCTGGAAGGCGAGGCCCTTCAGCGTTTGCCGGAACTTCTTGCCGCCACTGTAGACGACGTCCCCGAACAGGAAGATGGCCCCTGCTCGCACCTCCTCCCTCTCCTGGGGGGACAGCAGCCTCCCTCAGGCAGGTAGGGGGGCTCAGAACCGCCCCCAGACACTGGCCCGCAGAGGTGCCCAGAGGCCGTGTCTTGGCCGCCACGTGTGCCCTGAAGCACTGGGACTCTCTGGAGTCACTTCCTTTCCCGGAGAGACGCAGAACTGCAGGAACCCACAGAGCGACCGGACACAGGAAGGCACGGGCTCGGCCCCAGGACAATGTTCCAGCACAGTCGGGACGTCGCCAAGACTCGGAGCAGGTGGCCTCACCCCTACCGCTCCCCACCCACCTTTCAAGATGTGGTGGGCCCTTCCGGCTGCCAAAGAAACCCTCCAACTGTCTGTGCCCGAGCCTCCTCCCCTCCCTTGCTCGAGGAAGGGCTCCATGCTCACTTCAAGTCCATCTTCTCTCTGGCCGCTTCCTGCCAGGACCTTCCGCGAGCCTTCCCGAGGGCGGGATGCCCGTCCACCCCGAAGGGCGTCATGATGGAGCCATCTACCGCAGCGTGGGCTCTCTAGCCTCTGCCCCATGGCCCAGCCTCTTCTCTGCCCAGGCCTTGTCCTGGCCTCTGCCCTCTTCAGCTCGAGGCCACCCCTGTCCCTGCTCCCCAAATACTGGGTCTGCTCGGACTCAGGTGGCTCTTTCTGCAATGCTCCCTCAGCCACCTGCAGGCTTCTCCCTGCGGTTCCCTGGGAGGTCCCTGCACTCGCCAGGCTGGGGTGGGGGCAGCAGGCAGCCCAGAGCCAGGCGGGCCCTCACAGCTCCCAAACCTGGGTAGGGCTTCTCACATCCACAGGTCCTGGGCTGTATGAGGGCCAACACGCAAGGCCTGACACGCCAGCCAGCCCTCGCCCCCACAAGACGCTTACCCAGCTCTCCTGTCCCACTACCAGCTCCAGCAAGACCCTATCTTCTCTGTCCCTCTCCTGGGGCCGACTGGACTCACTCCTTGGCCTAACACCCATCCGAGGGTGTTTTCTCAAAGGGTGCCCTGCCCTCCCTGCCTCAATAAACAGCTGGCTCTTCCTGGCAGCAGGCTCAAGCCTTACAGACCCAGATCAGCAGGAGGCTGTGCACACCTGCTGGCTACCCTCCCAGTACCCACAAGCCCAACAAGCCTGGTCTTAATCTCATTGGTGGACAATGGGCTTCTGATTGCTGGGCTGGGGATAGGAGGGTTGGGGTGAGTCTGGTGGGCTGGGGATAGGAGTGTGCAGGGTCTCTGATTGACGGGCTGGCGATAGGAGGGTTGAGTGAGTCTGTGGTGGGCTGGGGATAGGAGGGTTGGGGGTGTGTCTCTGATTGACGGGCTGTAGATAGGAGGGTTGGGGGTGTGTCTGGTGGGCTGGGAATACGAGTTTTGCAAGGTCTCTGGTTGTTGGGCTGGGGATAGGAGCGTTGCAGGGTCTCTGGTTGGTGGACTGGGAGGGGCTGCCCCACCCTTCCACTGAGGACTCACATCCTCGAAGAGCGGAAGCAGGTGCTGGGCGATCTTGACGCTGACAGCGCCGTCGCCCTGGGTGCCTAGGCGGTGCAGAACATGGCTCAGGACCTCCATCAGGCCTGTGATGTCCTTGGGTTCAGGTTTCAGGAAGCTATCCAGCAGCCCCAGCAGCTGGCTCCGCAGCAAGGCCACCTGTGGGACATGGGACCACCTGCTTCTCTGCCCCACCTCCCCTGGGCATGCCCTGGGACGCTGGCACCCCTCCCCGGCAACCAGGTTCTCCTCCTAGGACACAAGCTTTCTGGGTGGGGCCGTGCCCATCCGCAGAGCTGGTCCAGAGCATAGGCCAGCAGCTGCATCGTGGGTGGGTGCTGGAGGGTGAGGCCCTGAGCAGGCTGGCCCCAGTCGCCATGGCTTCCCCCCACACTGAGCAGGGGGAGGAGAGAACAGAGGGTGCAGTCACCTGGAAGTAGCAGTGCCCATGGGGGGTGAGGTGGGGGTGTGATATGGGGACAGGCTCTGGGAGGCCCAAAGGGCAGCAGCAGGAGGTGTGAGTCCTCCCTGCAGGTGGCAGGTGGTGGACAAGAAGGGGCTGCCGTGCAGGGCATGCTGAGCTCACAGCTCCCCCAAGCTTGGAATCTGCGGATGGCCAGCCCTGCACGGGACAGCAGCACTTCCCAGACAAGGCTGCCCTCTCCTGCCCCAGACTTGGCTTGCCTTCCCTCCATCCCCTCCCAAGGCTCTGCACAAGTGCCACCTCCTCCCTAAAGGCCTCCAGGATGGGAGTGGGCAGCCCCCTGGCGGCCCCAGCCCCTCCCTCACCTTCTTAGGGTGCATCAGGGTGCTGCTGAGGCCCTTCAGGCTCATGGCCCGCACCAGCTGGCTGGAGTTGCTCAGGCTCAGGCTCAGGCAGTTGTCCACGGCCCTCCGAGACACATGCTGGAAGACCTCGGGGCTGCTGAGAAACTGACAGCCACAGTTGCCTGTGTTGCCCGGGCGAGTCAGCCTACACTGTGGCATGAGGTCACAGGTAGACCAAACCAGGCACTTCCGGAAAGCAGTGGGCTGACTCAGGCGGGAGTCAGGGCACCTTTATGGCGAGGGCAGGCGTGGGGGCCCAGGGCATGGCCGGGCCGGGGTGAGGCTGACCTCGGTGATGATGAGGATAGCTGCGACATTCTCCCGCTCCTCGGTGCTCTTCAAGGAGATGGCCGCCTGCCCCAAGACAGCCTTGACCTCGCAGTTATACTGGGCCATGGCCCTGTCATGGAAGATGCGGGGCAGGGCCCCAGGGCTCTGTTCCCGACCAGGCCCAGGCCAGAGGAGACTCACCCAAGGGCCTCACTTAGGAGGCTGGCCTGGGTGGGGGGTGGGGGGAGCCCACCAGGTGCTGTCAGGGCTTAGGCTGCTGGCCATGCCCAGCCCTCGTCACCTGGCCAGGAGAGTCACCCCATCCGTGTAGGTCTCCGGGTGCTCCAAGAGCTCCCAGCCGCTCAGCAGCTTGAGGTGGGCAAACACCTCCCAGTAGCTGGTGGTCCAGAAGAGCCCCTTCAGGGCTTCCAGGCATGTCCTGTGTGGGCAGGGCAAGCGCATCAGGTGGGTTAGGAGTGGAGCTCTTGATCACCTGGCCCCACTGAGCTGCCGCCTCCAGGTGGCCCCAGCTCAGGACTCTCCTGGTGGCTTAGTGACGGGGCCATGCAGACAACACAAACTGGTAAAGAGGCTGTCTCTCATGGTTTCGCTGGGAAGAAACGGCAAGACAAGACCAGCGGTTTACTAACTCTCCTTGTGTCATTTTATTGGCCTACAGTTTATTTCTCTGCCGTGAGTTTTACTGTTGTTACGGTATTTTGTAAGAGTAAGATATACCAACCATTACAATAAAGCCAATTAGTGATCTTGTAGGAATGTGGTTCCCTAAGACTGACACGAGGACTAAAAAGTTTAAGACTCTCTTACCTGTCTGTTTTTAAGCCAAAATTAACATATAGATTAAGTTAGTATAAACCAAATTCGCATTAGAAGCATATGTAGACTAAGTTAGTTTAAGGCTAGCCCTTGTTAAAGCTACAGGCCAAAGTTAACTTACACTAGCAAAGTCAGCACATTCACCACATAACAGAGACTTAGAGATAAAATAAAAGAACTTACTAATTTACAAGACTCAACAAATAAAATGCAAGAACCCGCAGATTTATTAGAAGAAGAAAAAGCCTGGATGGGACAACAGAATAAACAAAGCTGAGGGCTCCACAGAAAGATGAACCATTTTAGCTGGGAGCTCTTATCTAAAGCAACAGGTAGCTTTCAACTACAAAACTGCTAATAAAACATTTTGTGTTGTCTCCAGAGCTACAAAATCATTTTTTTATATAAAATTATAGACTTACCCTCTATTGTTGTAATGTATAGATAGTCTATATATTAACTGTGTCTGTATTAGCAAAATAAAATTTTTATTTAAGTCTTTGTAACCAGTAACGTTATTGCCCTGGCCCGGGACTAAAGTTATCAAACATCCTACAAGCCCCCTCTTCAAAAGACCCTTCCCAATAATCAAAATCTAAAAAAAAAAAAAATACAACAGACAAATGGACTTCCTCATCCTGAGAACTGTGATTGACTTTACCTGAGCTAACAAGACAAACAGCATGTTTTATAATTATTGCTTCCATGCTTTGTATACCCTGTTCCTTAGAGTAAATCTTTTACTGCCCCTCACCCATTTACTTGCATGTATCACATTTTCAATAAAAAGGCACGATGATTCCTAGCAGTTGTCACTCCTCAGAGAGCGATCTTTGGGAGTGTCCGGCTGAGGACGTGCATGAAAAGGCACGAGGCCTTAGTCTTCCTTTCTTTCCAGTGCCGCCTCCGTCAAAATAACCCACCCACACCGAGGCTAGACCCCGGCAGCTTAGGAGGCCCTGCCAGCCCCTGGGGGTTCCAAAGCTTGATCCTTTCTGGCACCTGGTAGGACTGGGGGGATGGCTGGGATGCCGAGAGGGGTCACCTGCAGGGGCTGAGGGGCTTTGTTTCCAGGGTGTCTTCCGGGTAGTCAGAGATGTCCTCGAGCAGCCCCAGCTCGAACAGGTAGTGGAGCTGTGTGAGGAGGCCCAGCAGGATCCCCGCAAAGGCCCAACGGACGGTGGCCCTGAACTCCTGGACGTAGAGCAGCTCGTAGATGGTGCCCAGGGCCTGTGGGCCGGGCAGGCAGATGCGTGAGCAGGAGCTCAGAAGCTCCCACCCCACCCTCCCAGAACACAGTGGCCCTGGGACAGGGCCCGTGAGAGGCAAGCCATTGAGCCTGGGGCCCTGACCTCCGGCTTTACCCCTCCTGGTTCTGCACAGCCCTGGCTTCCCTGTTCTTCCTCAGCTCCCCGACCTGGCCACCTGCCTGGCTCTCACCGCTGCCCCTGGGTGCCCACCCAAGCAAGTTTCCAGTGCCCTGCCCTTGGGGGGCATGGACACTGCCCAGCTTTTTGCTCACTCTCCCCTAAACACCTCCCTGCCCCAAGGGGGCCTTTCCGAGGGGAGAGTAGGCAGGGCCCTGCCTGAGCCTCCTGCTCCACGGCTCTCCTGCGCTCTTTCAGGTGTTCCAGTCCTGCAGGCTCTCCATTCTAGGGAGCCTCTCTGGCGCTGCCCCACCCACGGCCATGGCCAGGGGGCACCTGCCTGTACCTGGGCAGCTCCTCCCAGATGGCCTCTGCCCTCTCCGAGCCTCCCCCGAGCTACCCGAGCTTTGATCTCTTCTCATCTCCATGGAAAGCTGTGACTCAGTGTGGCCGCTTGTGTCCCTAAGGCCCCTGAGGGTGGCTGGGGACACTACTGTGTCTTCACGGACTCCAAGGAGCATCAGTCTGTTTGTGGACAGCCTGGCGCTGCTAGTCAGAGAGGCCCTGTGGGACGAGGATGATGGGCAGAGGGGAGGCTGCAGAACAGGGGGGCACGACGGCAGAGGGGAGGCTGCGGCAGAGGGGAGCACGGCGGCAGAGGGGAGGCTGCGGCAGAGGGGGACACGACGGCAGTGGGGAGGCTGTGGCAGAGAGGAGGCTGAGGCAGAGGGGAGGCTGGGGCAGAGGGGAGGCTGGGGCAGAGGGGAGCATGGCGG